TCATGGTCCCAACCCCTCTGTAAATGCCCACTGAAAACATGGAGGGAGAGGCCAAAGGAGTGAAAATAAATGAACATCCAGATGTGTCCTTCAAGTGAAAACAGACTCCCTTGAGCAACCTTGAAGTTCAGGCCCAGCAGTCTCTGAACCAGTGCGGTCACTTGGCCAGGGGCTCTTTTCTACTGGTTCAACTCCCCCTGCTATGCTGTCCTTGAATGCCAAACCCTTTGGCATGAGAGATGTAAATTCTTTGGGATTGAACTTGAAGGCTTCGTGAGAGGACAGCTTGACCAACTTCATTAGTATCAAAATGCATTTCCTTTCCTTCAGCTGACATGACTTCCCACTGCAGCACTCACAGCGGTGTCCTGCATAGGAGGGTGCACCAGCTAATATGATTTTACCGTGCTGATGAATGTCCTATCACTGAGGCTTTCTCTAATATTACACAAAGGCTGATTGCAGCAAAGTTGTCCAAAGTTGCTTTTAAGATTATTCTTTTTATCTTTTTAAGTGATGTTCAGGCTTTCCCTGCATTTATTGGTATATTCAATACTCCAGTCAAATCACACTTGTAGCTCAGCATATTTCTAATATCCACAGATGGGAAAGACACTGATTGCAGTATTTAAGAGCCACCCTCACTGAAAAACCAGTTGTTGGTCTGTTTCAAAAGGGGCAAAACCGTTTCATTTCATGAGGGTGAATTTCAGTTACATAAAATAAGTCTGGTTCTACAGCAGGCCCTGATGAAACTAAGAAATAAAAAGCAGCATGCAAATAGGGAGGGTTTATGGGAAAACCTATTTCACCTTGTGGGTGGGGAGGATATGAGCGTGGAGTTCCACAGCTCCTCTAAAACTTGTATATCCAGATAATCTGTATGTATAAATACGTAGAAAAACATGGAGTTGTACATCGTATCTACAAATGTAGATATTTATCTGTAGGTTGGGGTTTAGTCCTCCTTTAGTTCATAATTCTTACTTTCAGTGTTAACAAAAACTTTTTTTGGGAGGTTATTATCAGTCTCCACTCAACTGTTTGAATTTCAAACTTGTTTTGTTCTTGTGTTTAAAAAAACCCAGTTAACACTGCCAACCTTGCCTTTCTGTACCATTCATTATTTTTATGTGCTTGTCCTGCTTTGTCTTTTTTTGTCTCCTATGAAGTCAACAGCTCCAAAATTTTTGCTCTTTCTGCAAAGGGAAGATTTTCACCTTCTTTTTTGATTGCAAGCTGCTATCTAGTCAGACACCAGGCTAGAGGGGGCGAGAAGAAATGGGGATCTTTACTTGTAGGCAATGACTAAACCAGATTGTTGTTCCTAGTGGAGACAGAAATAGGCAAACAGATTCTCAGTTCAGGCCCCCTGAACATCTTGGTTGAACAAAAAACCTGTTAAAGGTGCTAAACTTAAAATTTTCATATGAGAAGTTTCTTACTGTTTTCCCTACCATAAGAACCCTTTAACATTCTTTCTCCTCCTCAAAAAAAAAAAAAAAAAAAAAACACCTGCAGGGTGCTGTGACATTACTGTGGTTTGAATTAATTTGAGATGTACTCACAGAGTTGTTGAGGTCTGGATCACCAAGCTCTTTAGCCCAGACAAGACTACATAAAACCCATCCTCTGACAATTGCCTACTGCTTCCAGGAGCACTCCCTTCTTTTCCCTTTAATTCATTTGCATTCAGGGCTGTTCCTGTATGCCAATTAGCTTTAATTTTTACTATACACACTGACATCAATGGCCAATGAGAACAGGGCATAGTGGGGTTTTTAGTGTGCCCATAAACTACAGAAAATTGTCCCTTGGACAAACTCCTGCTTTTAGACTGGCTGACAACAATAGACATAGTTAAGTTCAGGCTAAGAGCCATTAAACATAATTACTACCACAGGGTAAAAGTTTAATTGTGCTAAATTTTAAATCTGCATAGTCTATGCTTATTTACAAGCTGGCTGGGTCTTCCTGTTACATGAAGGGGAATAAATCTGTACTTAAAAATTATTGCCTTTTAACTTCAAAGGGAAATTAATAAATAGGGTTTCTTAGAAGCAAAACAACCCCAAACTGAAAATTTTCTGTATTTCCAGCTTCTTTTATGCCAATGGCTCCAAGCTGGTAAGTAGAGGCTAAACAACTTCTGATAGATTTTTCTAATGCATTTCAACTTCGTGTGTGTGAATGTGTGAGAGAGTGTTGCATCTGTTACGAAGGTGTCTGGGGGACAGAATGCAGATCAGTTTGTTCGTGTGGGGTTATTTTAAATTTAACCACAGATGGGGCTTGGGGTGGAAGGTTTTTCCTCCTGCCCCTTATCTTCTCTCCCTCCTTCCAATAACGTTAAGCTCCCCACTTCGGGAAGTTTCAGCTCAAGTAGCTTCTGGATCAGGAGATATCAGAGGTGGCAGGTTTTCTACAAGCAAACAAAAAAAAAGGCAAAATACTCTGTTCATTTTGCATTTTCTTCCAACAGATTAAAAAAAAGTCATGTTCACTGAGCTACAAGTTACAGCGTATTTTTAGAAGCATGGTGAATGCATGGGGCTCTAAATCACTCCCCGAAAAGCAGAATAAAATTAGGAGGTGCTAGAATAAGTGTGAAACATTCATCTGTTGGGAAAGGGAGGGTATGGAGGACTGTGAAACTTGATAGAAGAGACAAAGATTAGCACTCTGACTCGCTGGAAGCCACGTTATGTAGACATTAGAAGGCAACACGATTTCAGCTGGACAGAACATAAGCTTCAGATCTTATGCAAACAGTCAAAGCTGTTTAACAATTGGTTTACCCCCAAAACCCCTGAAAGGAGACAGGTGAATACGATGCCAAATACATTTTTCATGTTTCTTAAGCTAACTGTTTAAATAGTTAAGTGAGCATCTGTCCAAATTTCCCCATCATTTCCATTTAGAAAAGTCTCCTATTTGAAGGCTGAAGAAAAGCACCTGCTTAACAATGCAAATGGTGCTGTCTGGGGCCCCTTTATTTTGTTTAATCTAGATTGAGCTCCACACAACTGTGATGCTAATGAATAATGGATATTTTATACTTGTGCATGTAGCAGTACTGGGCACAGAGCAAATCTAGGATTAACCTCCCAGTTTCCCTGCCTAATGCATTTGACTCATTTTTTTTGAGTTTGCTGTGACTTGGGTACTCTAAAAACGGATGTCTGGTTTTATGGGAAATGGGAAAATCCTGGCAAAAGCTGTCAGGCTTTGCTGTGCCCAAGTGGAAAGGGGCAGCTAGGCTGAGGAGGGGAGGGATGTCTGCAGTAATGGTTTGATTTGTGAGTGGGTGCTGAATGAGAGCCAGGGTCTTCCAGGGTGGAGACCTGGATGCTTTTCAGTGCCACATTTTTCCAGTCCAGTCTGCTGGTGTTAGGCAGCCAAGACCTGTGCCCAGCTGCCTCCCCTGCCTTGCCTTCCTGTGGGGACAGGAGCAAGAGGAGTCAGCTTGCAGAGGGAAAGGGATTGCTTTTTGCTGGTGCAAATTATACAGTTGGGATTTTGCTCTGCCTTTCAGCCTTCAGATGATGGAGTCACGGGGGAAGAAATTTTGGTACTCCCTTTGTGGATTTTGCGTCTTGCATGAGTGTTTCTGTTTTGGTTCCTGTGGTTTAGCTCTGAAGGAAAACATAGTGCTGTTTCTTCATAGGAAGGCCTGGGATTTTCCAGCCAGGCCTAATGAAAGACCCCTGATACCACTTCTAAAGAAAAATAAGGGTGGGCTTTCTTACAGCTGGAGAGCGAACTGACTTCGGGAGCGCAGCGCTGTAGGAGGGTGGGAGAGTTGTGTTGGGAGGTTTCTATAACACTGCTGGGTGTTTTAATTCACAATTACTGGCCAGTAATAATTAGTATTGATTTGCCTGGCAAATTGCGGGTTTAGAAATTGGTTATAGATTTTCCTGATGCTTCTCATCTGCGCGTTGTGGAATCAGCCAGAACCGATGGCTTGAAACAAACCGCGAGCCCAGCTCTGTCCGCGGGCAGCGGCGCGTTGCGTGCACAGAGCTAATGGCCAGCAGGGATTGTACGTCTTGAGGCTCATCGCCCCCAAAATACATTTCTGTCATCCTCTGGGCAAAGTGACTAACCACACGTGACCAGAGGCTGGGGTGAACCTTGGTTCTGCCAGCCCGTGGCTCAGTGCCCTGTGCCCCTGGCACACGGGGGGCTGCAGGCACACCTCGGGCAAGGGGGCCACGGGAAGGATGCTGCAGTCGTGCTTGAGTCCCCCGGCAGGAGCTGCAATAGCAGCAGACATCTGGGGAGACAGATAGTGAAAGCCAAGATGAAAATGGCAAAGCTTCCAGTGCTGAAGGGCTGTCCTGGAGGGCGGGCAGCTGGAGTGGAACGGCTGAGCATGCTGTTCAGGCCGCTGTGGAAGGGCTTAGCTGGCTCCCAGGAGGAGGGAGGCACGGCCGGGGAGGAGGGCTTGCTCTCTGAGATGCCTGGTGAAATGCTGTGCACTCATTGCAAGAGAAGTTGTGCTCTTTCTTTTTAAGCAGCAGGTAAGTGAGGGTCTTCCTGAGCTCTGTTACAGCGCTGCCTGCCAGGATTGGCAAAGTTTGCAGGACTTCTGTGTCCTGCTGCCAGCCTGTCCCTCCGCCAGGCTGCGGCTAAGCAAGTCCTTGTGGAGCAGGATGGGCAGCTCCCAGCACCTACCCCAGTGCTGCAGAGAGGCAGATAGTTTTTGACTGAAATTTTGTGAGCCCCAAAATAGTGCTCCAAGTGTTTAATGCTTTTCTCCATTAGACAGCAAATTAGCCCTAGGCTCACAAACCAAATGAAGTTTCTTCTCAATGATTGGAGCCTGCTCACCAGGCATTTTTATCCCAAGTTCCTGCACGCTGGTTGGTCAGTGAAATGGAGACTGCAACTTCTATTTATTGGTGCAATACAGTATTTGATACTGCTAATTACACTTAATTAGTCCTTCCACCATTTAATTAAAATGGCTTCTAATGATTGTGCTTCTTTGGCAGGCTCTTTGGTACCACCGGGAATTGTGCTGCCTGCAGTAAACTGATCCCTGCCTTTGAGATGGTGATGAGGGCCAGAGATAATGTTTACCATTTGGACTGCTTTGCCTGTCAGCTCTGCAACCAGCGGTGAGGACACAGTTATTGTACACACAAACTAATTTATACCTTTGCCTGTGAAACAGGGGAAACGTTTGATGCACGCTGCCCATCTGGGCTTACAGCCTGGTGACAGGGCTGGGGCTGGGTTGCCAGGCTGACCTGGGGGATGCATGTAAGTACCTGTAGCCCTTTTACTGCAAATCCCCTTGGAGCTGGTAGGAGTTGGAGGGGCAAGAGGGAGAACACAGACACAGACTGTTCAGCTACTGCTAAATAAAACAAACCACTCCAGTGTCCTTTCAGGAGCTACCCTCTTTGCAGAAGGCAGATGATGAAGAATGGACCTCCTCTGGCAAACTGACATTATCTTGCTTAAGTCACATTTCTGACATGCTCAAAACTGGTGGTGGAAAGAAGTATAAAGAGAAGGGACAGGAAAGAGAAAAATACTCTAGCTAAGTGCTTTCCAACACTAGGAACAAATCCATTTAGTTGTTGTGTGGTGTAATCTTGAGTGGTGCTTATTTATTTCTGCTGGGTGGAAGATGGAAATCAGGGAGTATAATAAAGGGCCATGCACAGTGTATTCACTTGAACTACCTGTATCCACGTGAGTTTGGGAGGGCTGTGAAAACTCTTCCCAGCACCATGTGTTTTGATCAACATAGGCAGAATGGAAACCCACAGAATCAGATGCTTTGTCACCTTTCGATGCATCCATCTGTCCATCCTTGTCTAAGATAGACTGGAACTGCTTGCAGTTCTTACTGCTTGCTTAGTCAGGCTGTAGTCCAAGGGCCAGGGTCCAAGGGCTGTGCTGGTGTTCCTGCTCTGCATCTGTGGCTGTGAATCCCAAAGATGAAACTAGAATGCAATGCCTCATCCCGTGGGAAAGTATGAGAGAGATGACAGAACCTGTGGGAAGATGGAGAACCCAATTCTGTAAAAGTCAAGCTAAAATCCTGACTTAAAACATTCCTTGCTCAGTCTAGAAAAGAGTCTCAGTGGGATCCGAGATGAAGCAGCCATACAGGCGTGTGAATGCAAACCTGAACTTGGGAGGTCCTGTCCGACTCCGCTCTCGCACGTCCGCCAGTGGCTCAGCCCTGGGGATGGAGTCGGTGTCAGCTGGCTGGGGAGGAGGCAGATGAGGTGGCTTTAGCCGCTGGCTCACTGGAGGCGGGCAGGTTTATTCAGGTACTAAAGTCCCATTAATGCTGTCGCAGCGCGGGTGGCAGTGCCGGGGCGGCAGTGACATCTAGTGGCTCCTGGCCTTGGGCTCTCTGCGGGAGCCACGCGGGATCTTCCAGTTGCCCAGTCTTGTTTGGTGACTCCTGAACCCTGAGCTGATCCCACCTCATCCCCCGAGATGCTCATTCCACTCTGCTGCAATCACCAGTGTTCTGGCATTTGTCTCCAGACTCGGGAGCGTGGCGGGTGCTGCCAGGCTCAGCCCTCAGGATCAGCTCTTTTCAGCCTCCTGATGATTGCCGGGCAGGAGAGGGCTGCTCCCAAACCCCACGTAGAACCTGGGGCTAGAGCATTATAAATGTCCTTTCAGGCTCTGGGCTGCACAGTCAGGAGTGCTGGTTGGCCTTGGAGTCTGCAGGCTGAGTATCTCCCATCAAACCCCAACTTCACCCTTCTTCCCTCCCAGAAAATCCTAGTGCTGCCTAGTTCTCATTTTCAGTAATTTCTTTTAAATGTCACCCTTTATTTCAAAGGCTCCAAAGCACCTCTCTCGTTCCCTTCCCTCTTCAATTGCCAGCGTGGTCCCATTCTCCTTCAGACAACCTCCAGGCCTGTCACTGCCCAGCAGGAGAGGGCAGGTAACCCCCCATTCTGGCAGAGTTGTGCTGTGTTGCACAAGGGATTTGCTCAGTTTGTGAGAGGCTGAGTTGTTCTGGAAGAGGGACTATGTGTAGATTTTTGCTTTTGGCTGAGGTCAGAGTGCTGCCAGTTTTTATGACTTTCTCTGTGGAGATTTGGGCTTGAAGGGGCAGAATGGATGATCCTGTAACAGACAGCACTGGATGCTGAACTGAGAACAGTGAGATTAAGTAACCCTGAAGTTAAAACTGCAGAGGTAGATGCCAGCTCTGGTTTTGAATTGGAAACCTCACCAGAAATCCCATCCTGTTCCTCAGCTCTGGAAATATTTGATGGTGAAGACCTTTCCTCAGTTCTCTTCCAGCTTGCTTGCCCTTCTCTAGCTGGGCTCTGTATAGAGTGCTAAATCTATCACAGCAAAATCTCTAATATTTTTACCAAGTGTGCAATGTTTTCATCACTTTCATTCCCCAAAACATCAGTTTTCCATCAAGTCCTGCATTACCCACTCATCCTGCCATGCTTTAAACTGTTCTAAAGTTGCCATGGTCAGCACAGTGTTGGATAAAAGCTGATCACTGCTGTGACTGGCCGATAGGTCAGTGTTACAAGGGTTGCAGGAAATCCAGCTGTTTCTCTTGCCATTATCTGAAGTGTGGGTTTGCTGGGAAGAAAATCACTCTTAGGGACTGGTACAGTAGGTTCAGCACCTATCTCACTGCTGCTGGTTGGAATTTGATCACCCAGATGGGCTCTGCAGCATCCCTGCTCTGAGCATGGGGCTGGCAGTGTGAAACTGGGCCTGAGGTCACCCTGTTAAATCCTTTGTCTCCAGTTGTGATGCATCAGCTAAAGAGATCCCAGTTTACTGGTGGGTTTGCAGGACTGGCAGGTAGAAAAAGTTGCCCTTCCAGTGAATCAAAGCCTTCTCCCAAAACTTCATGTCACATGCCCTGTAGAGCATTTCAGTACCCACATGCTGGTACACACCCCTACGCCTTCCACCTCCAAGATTCTCCAGCTCCTCCTTTGGCTCCTCTACACCCAAAACCAGGTCTGGCAAGAGACAGCTGTTGACGGTGCTGGTGGCAAGAGTAATTTTTGCATTTCTCTTCCTGGAGATTGATACGGCGCTTAAGGTGGGAATAAGTAGTGAAAAGCAAGCAGCTGTGTCTGTTATTTATTGTGAGTAAGCCTGCTCCTGGGGCAGGTGGTATTAAGGGGAGTGTGTGCAATACAGTTTTTACCATAAAAGCTGTTAGTTGAAATTAGGAATAATCTTTATCTTTTTAATATGCAGAAAAGGTTACATTTCAGAACCTACTAGAGCATGTGCCACAGAGGGAAGAAGATGGAAGGTTTTAGTGAAATCCTGTGAAGTGTGAACCAATGCCCAGTTCTCTCTGTACCAACTTGGCAAATTAATCAGCTTATTTGCAGGTGTCCAGTTGGAGAGAACTTGTGCCTGTGCTGGGCCTATAAAGAAGCTCTAAAATTATCAGTCCTGTTCTTTTAGCAGCAAATACTCAGTTTTCTAGAGATGCTCTGCCTGAAGGTGCCTGAGTTACAGATGATGAAAGCACTTTAGACAAGGGGTAGGCAGTGCCAAAACAGCCTGGGAGCGGGGGAAATGGGAATTTGAGGTCTGCTAAGTCTCCTGGGGATGGGGTCACCTCCAGTGATCTTCCTTCAAAGCCCTGTAGATATTTGGCCTTGCCAGAGGCTGGTACCTACCCCTTTCTCTCAGTGCAGAGCTGCCTTGAGGCACAGTGCCTGACCCAGGGTGTCTCTCTGCTTTAGGGTCCTGAGGCTGATTTCAGACCCAGCTCTTGGGGCAGCCTGTGCTCTGGTCTGTCATTGCCCTGCCAGTGTTATGGACAAAAACCAGCCCCTGAATTGGGTGCAGAGAACATTATTTGTTATCTTAAGAAGTAAAGATTAGCTTCTGATTCCTGAGCAAGCAGGCAGGGCGGAAAAAGCTATTGGCTGTCAATTCACACCTCTCCGATCTTATATGTGGAACTTTTTTGACCTTAATGGTCAAATAAAATTGTTAAATATCACAAGCTTCTCTGTCAACTTCAAGACAAACAGAACAATTTACATGGTATATAGAGAGCAGTGCCCTTCGCTCAATGAAGATAAAGGTTAGGAGTCCAGCCACCGAGAAATTTCTATTTATTGTTCAGCACTGTACACAAGGGGGTGAGGGAGGACTTAATAGCCAGTCCTTGCCTGGAAATTAGTGTAAATACTGCTCCACCCGAGGGAACTGTGGAAATGTGGATACCAGCAAAAACTTCAAATAGGCTCAGTGTGATATTGCCCGCTTGATTTCCTGGTTGGAGACCAACACCTCTCATCTGCAGGGACAAATCCCTGAACTGCTCCCAACCTCCTCCTGCAGCTGGCTCGGACCCTGCAGAGAGTGGGACCTGCTCCCCAAGCTGCTCCCTGTGGCTTGGAGCCAAGCACAGATGTGCCAGGGAAAGGGACAGCAAAACGCTGGGGTGGCAAGAGGCACTGGCAGAGCTGGAAATCAAACTCTGCTCACCAGAGTCGCCTTCGGACCCAAACTGCCTCAAATCCCCCCTTAGCCAGTTCTCACGTCTGTTCATGCTCACACCCACTAATCCTTTTTTTTAATCTTCCAGATTCTGTGTGGGAGACAAATTTTTCCTGAAGAACAACATGATCTTGTGTCAGATGGACTATGAGGAAGGGCAGCTGAACGGGAGCTTCGAGTCCCAGGTTCAATAACAGCCCCTGCTTCGCTGGAGCACTGTGGGATGGGCGCTTGGCCGCACGAGCAGCGAGGGCGTCTGTCAGCTTGCCTGCAATATTTTTTTAATTCTTGGTCCAGAGAGGACTATATACATTGTAGTACTTTTCCCCCCCAACACAAAGCAGTTACAATTTTAGATGTACAGTTGTGCCTGCTTAGCTGAGCACTGCATTGCCTGTATGTTTGTGAGTTTTTGGGGTCTGGGGGAGGGCTCTGTACAGTCTGTTTTCTGTATATAAACTGGAACATTTATTTTATGAAAAATGTAATGCAATTTTATTACTGGTGTGAATTAAAAATTATGAATGTTTCCTGGTCATCTTTGCCGTGGTTTCTTCCCCCTGTGACAAAAGCCTGTATTTCCTGTGCTTTAGCTGAGCAGATTGTTGGAAACGTGTACATCTATCAGAGCAGAAGAAGGTTCTGTCATAATAACTGGGGAAAATGCTGCTGCAGGGTTGTGGAGACTTCCATCCAACCACCTGTACAATGGGGGGTAATGAGCTGGGGGCAGGTGTGGCTGGGAACCGTCGGCATCGCTGGCAGGGCTGCTGGGCTGTGCTGGGCTGCTGGCTGAGAGGCTCCTTGTGGATTCAGACGGAGCACTGCCACGGAATCCCTGCTGGCTGCCTGATCCAGTGCCTCCAGTCTGGGCTGCGAGGAACAGGCTCCCTGCAGCCCTGCCAACAGGTGCCTGGGCATTGATCAGAATATTAATTTCAAGGCTTTGCTAGGCAGGGGGATTTTCCCATGGGGCATCACTTGTCCAGGTCAGAGCTGCTGCGAGAGCTGATGTCAGGGCTGGGACGTGAGCAGGCGCTGATGCAGCAGATCCCTGCTCCCAGCCCTTTTTGCTTACTCGGTGCCAGGTGCTTTGACCTCCCACAAAATAAAAGCGATCAGATTTGAAGCATCTCCCTGAGAAAAAATTCTGAACTCTGTTCCTGCTGCGATGCTTTGTGCAATGATTTTCAAGGTTATGCAATTCATGTGCAACCCACTGGACTGTATCAAACACATTTCTTTGTATAGTGAGTGTCACTTTAATATAGTGCACCAGTAGCTGTAAAGGATGGCTGCAATTCTATTTATTTTGTCTTCTTGCTTTTTCTTAGATTTACCCTCCTTTCCTTTAATAAATAGACACCAAGTACTTTTTTTCTGATGTGACTTAATTGGTTGCTGGTCCTGGGTCGCTTGTGTGTGTTCTCTGAATTGCAAATGCCAGATGCAGTGCAGCTTGGTGCTGCTCTGCCTGTTGCATGAAATGCTTTTATGTACACCTGTGCTTAATAATGGCTAAGCAGAAGCAAATACCATCAGATACTTAGCATGTTTCAAAATATCACCCGTCATCTAGAGCTACCTCAGACATGTGGATTGATTGAGTGATTTTTCTTCACAAACAGATGTTTTGGGTTGGGAGACCCAGTATAAAATGTGTAGCCTCGTCCCTTTTTATTCCCATAAACGTGGAATAGCAATTAAAGAGCCACTTAGAGCTGCCTATGGATATGTGGTATTTAAACTGCTGTTCTGTTTTAGTGCTTTTTGGGGTGGAGGGAGGTTGTCTTTTGAGAAACTGTAGAGTTGATGCTCTTTTTGTAGAGGCTATTGGAGGCAGCCACCCTGGGGCTATGGAAGGAGCAGCTTGTTGCCCAAATGTTTCCATTCCTTGCTTTGAAATGGGCTGCCAGACAGCCCCCTACCCCTGCCTGTGCTCTGGATTGATGGATCCCTGCCTGCTTGCCTGCCCATGGGATTTGCTGCAATTCAGCACACAGGGGCACGATGGCAGGGCAAGGCTGCTGTCCTGTGGGGATGAAGGGAGCAGTAAAACCAAACCAAAGCCACTCACCAAACAAGCTGGAGGGGCTATTAAGTTTCAATTCAGATTCTTAAGGAGAGTTTTGGTACCAGTTTAAAAACTGAGTCCCCCAGAGAAAGGTACCTTAGTTACACCATGGGCTATGACTCAGGAGCAGTGGTTTCCCATTGCCTCCCTCCACTTGCCCTTGCTGTGAAATGCAGGCACTGCTCCCCTGCTGGAGCACAAGAACTTAATTTCTGATGGGCAGCCCTCTGATTTGTCATCATTGCTGTGGATCTGATTCGTGATACCTTAGGTGGAATTTGTTGGCTCATGCAAAAGCCCCAGCTAGAGGCCAGGTGGATGGGAGGAAAGCCTGGGGCAGGACACAACTTCTCAGTGCTGAATGGGGTGGGGCAAATATCCAATTGTCTTATATTTAAAAAAGCAAAAATACAAGGGAGAAACAGTGCAGCATCCCTCTTTTCTGTGTCTGCTGCATGCCATAGCCCATGCCCCAAACGGCATTGGAGGTGGGACACCTTTAAAAATAAAAATCCCAGGAGGGCAATGCAATCATGAATTCTTGTCTGAATGCTGCAAATTTGCTTAATAGAAACAAGGGCTGGAGTGCAGACCTGCTCTTGAATAATTGCTTCCACTCTATGGAGCAGAGCACAGAAACCTTTTGATGGTGTTATAGTCATCACTTGGCATAAATATTCATTCAAGGAATCAGAGCAGAGTAAATGGCATTTTAGCTGCTAATAATTTAGTATTAGCAGATAGCCTTTTTACTGCTAAAGATAACCACTGCTTAATCAGTTTAGTGACCACTGGCATATAGTATGACATTTAAGCCTGTGCCTCAGTCCCCGTGTTGAGGACACGGCTGCTGGTGACCCCTCTGCCCAAGCCTCTATCGTTCCCAATGTCAGCCCCAGCTGCCAACTGCACTCACTGGCTTTAACTTCTCTATTATCTGCCATTTGCCTCCTTATCTTAGATCAAAGAGGAATTTTAAGTTCATACTGCGGATGTTAAAATCTAGGATCTTCTGTCTCTTTCTCTTTTGGTGGTTGGGGCTAATGGTTGATCACAGCACAGTCTGATTTTGAGATTAAAAAACAAGCCAGTGTTTAAAGGCAATCAAAATCTTAGGCTTCGCCTCCATTCATCTTTAATGCTGGTGTAATTGCTGCATAGTTCTGGCTCTTCCTGCAGACTTAATTTATTTTATTTTTGGAGCATGCCCCTGTCTGTCAGAGGGATGTTATACTTCCCTGAGCAGCATTAGCGCTATTGAGCACTCCGCCACCGGCAATCCAGCTCACCCCATTTCATATCTTGCCAAACAAGTTAATCTAATATTAACAGCGGTTTGTTACCTCGTTGTTAGCTTAATTTACTTTACAAGAAATGCTAGATTTGCATTTCATCCCTCTGTCACTGGCTTGTGAACCGCGCTTCCCAAGGCCAAGAAGGGATGGCTCGCGTGCTCGGCGCCTGTCCCTCGGCACGGCACTGCCACACAGGGGAGGGGACCATCACCCCCACCAGGCATCTTCCCTAATTGGCCAGGGGGGATGTGGGGAGCTGGGAGGAGGATTTCCAAAGCCACAGAGCAGGTCCTGGAAATGCAATATCGAGAGTAGCACAAATGCTGCCGCTGCTCTTCCAGTAATAGAGCTGAGTCGTAGACAGCAGCTTTCCCTGGCGGCAAACATATACAGTAAATGTCTTTAGTATGGAAATCAGCAGACGTATGGGCACGGGGGCAGACGTCTGCAGCACCAACAGCTTCCTCAGGCTTTCAGGGAGAGCTCCCACACCAACCCCTGCCACGCCCCAGGGACTCACCCAGGTCTGTCTGTCCATCAGCACAGTGAGGGCCCTGCACTTCACTTCCAAATCGCTGGGGTGGGGAGCTGTGAGCAAAACCCTCCAAGCAATCATTCAAAAGCCACTTCCCCAAATGATCCAGCAGCCCCATGGAGCAGTGCCAGCTGATGTGCTGGGTGGGCAGCGGGATAGAGCTGGGGATGCCCCACGGGGTGATGTCAATGATCCGGTACCTGGGGCTGTCCCAGCTCAGTCAGGGAATGTGGAGCTGTGGGAGGTGGAAATGGCTTTCCAGTGAACGTTTCTGACTTCACTGTTCATGAGCTCACCCTGAGTCCCACTGCTAAACCCTGTCCTTGTTTATGGGCCCTGGCCTCCCACCTCCTCCAGCAGCTGCTGCCTTCCACAGCTTAAAGGAAGGGAATGCCCCTGCCTGGGTGTCTTGCTCTGGTTTTAATAGCAAAATGATGAAGAGTGCCAAGGGCAACTCTGGCCAGGCTGAGACATTTGGCAGGGCAGTTTTGTGGTGCTGAAGGTTTTTAGTGAAGGTCTGAGAGAAAGCAGGGCTGGAAGGACCAAACCCAGAGTAACAGCAGGGAACAGAAAGGTGGAATGAAGTAGGGGATCAGCTGTAGATGAAAGTACCAAATATTGGGTGATTTTTGCGATCGATTGGAGGGCAAGTGCCCAAAACAGAGCAGTTTTGCCATAGAAGCACTATGAAGCCCCTCATAAGTGATGTAAACAGTGGAAGTGTAAATATAAATGTACATCCAGCCTCTACTGCTGACTGGCCACATGAACCTGAAGCTGCAGGAGCTTCCTGGAAGGAATGTTTTGCTGCTAACTTAAATTATTTGAGGAGAGGAAGAAGGTGCTTCCTGCTGTCTGCCTGAAGGGGAGCAGAGGGACCAGCTGCCTGTTTTAGTCCTTGATAATAACACTGCTGGAAAGAAATGTTGCTAATGCAACCTGGGCTTTTATGGGTGATTTTACTTAGAAAATTACCTTGAGAATAGCTTTATTATTACTGAATAGAATCAGGCATTTTCTTAAAGGTCTTGACATCCCTGCAGAAACTAGAAAATTGTGATTTTATTTAATGAAAATATTGTTGTTCAAAACCTATTTCACTCTAGGGCTTAACCTTCAGGCCCATGTGCTCCCCACCAGTGGAAAAGCATCAATTTCCTCTGGTCTGCCTCTCCCTCTGCAGTTCACATGGGCTTTTTCACCCCCAAAATTCTTCCCTATGCACTTTGCCATCCATGTCTATCCCATTTGGAGTTACATATAAGCCTTTTAGTGGTAATACAGTGGCCATCAGTGCTGCTCAGAAATGGGTTGCCACCCTCCAAGGACAAACCCTGGTGACAGCCACCCTGGAAGCTGCTGGATCACTCTTCACCTCTTGGGATTCTATCACAGTGATGACTCCTCAAGCCCTGCCCTCCAGTTGGTGCCTCAAGGGCAGTGGATGTTCAAAACACCACCCAGGGTGTCCCTGTCCCCATCCTCTAGCAGAGCTATAGATGGGGCCCCAATCTTCAAGAATGGCTTTTCAGTAAGTCTGTTATTTAACCTTTCATAGTCAGTACTCAGTTCAGAAGGAGGGACTTCTGTTTGCAGTTTGCTTTTCTGAGAAGAGCGTATCTTTGTCATAATTTAGGGGTTTTTTTAATTATTATTTCTTAAAATTCTTGCTGAACAGAGCCCAGAGATGCAGTGAAGCATCTTGCCTTGGCAGCACACACAGTGCAGTCACAGCAGCCCTGGGGGGCTGAGGCAATGACCTCTGCCAGAGGAGGAGGAGGAGGAAAACTGCCCCAAAGTCTCAGCTGGAATGCAAAGGTTCAGGACACAACATCCTCCAGAGCAGGGTTCCTTACCTTTGCACCTCAGAGGAAGCTCTAGGAAATGCCATCCTTTGGCAAGATATAAACATCAACATTGTGGCTCGGTCGTGGCCACAGTGACAGCCCAGGGGCTGCTCCTGGCTGCCCTGAACCGGGTCCCCTCACCCCACCGGGGAGCTGCAGCCTCATAAATAATTCCTCAGTGCAACGGCAATGTTGTAAAACATGAATATTTAGTGCATGCATAATCGTTGTTTATTCATACTTAAATGTCAGCTGATGAAAACATATCTAAAAGGCTCCATTCCCGGGGAAGCACAGGCAGCTGGAGGAGATGGGATGCAGAGTCACTCTGTTTTATGCCACATTGAAACCCAGGGTAGAAGTGATGGACCCCTGCACTCTCCAGCTGCAACATATTCCTGCTCCCTAGGTGCCAGGCTTGGAGCCAGTGCTGTCACACTCTGAGCACGCCTATTCCCACAAAGGGAGGGTTTCACGTTTGTGCCAGAGCTGAATTTGGCTAAAACTCTGCCAGTCTGGGGTGTGCACTCCCAGCACGGGTGATGGGGAGGCCAAAACTTTGCAGGACAAAGAGCCTGTGGATGCAGGGATGTGGGCAAAGATGCAGGCAGGCAGTCCCCC